TGCCGATCTTTAATCGAACTCGAACCAGACTCGAACTCGTATAACGGTTCGGTTCGAGTTCGGTTCGAACTTCGAACATTTCTTGAACTCAAGCCAAAGTCCGGTTCGAATTTCGAACCGAACTCGAACCCGGGCCAAAGTCCGGTTCGGTTCGGTTCATAGGAACACTAGTAAGTACTTTGTCACATATCGAATATGTGTACATTCATTTACATGTCTGTATGAATTAAAAATGATTGAGATTTCTTTTTTTCTCACCCAGAATTCAGAGTTATATTATTCTAAGTTCTTTTGAAAAAAAAGGTTTTCCAATCCTGGAAAATGTTCCGGTGATAACAAATTGAGCGGAAAGTCTCTTGCTATTATCCAAGGTCTTTACACTCAACTATTAGATGATATTGATGTTTACTGTGGCTCTTTAATATTTTAATTAAACCGACGTTATCGTTATCGTTATCGTTATTGGCTGAAGCGATACAAGCTTATCTTGGCGCAGAAATTCATGTCATACAAAAAAGGAAAATAACAATACAATTGTGTACAAAATTTGGTTACTTCCTAATGTTAATAATACATGTACAAGTCAATTATGTGTCGGTGTTAAAAAACGAAATGGCATCCGTCATCAACGAATTATGTATTAAGAATATATTCGAATACGTTCTTCTATTTGACGAAGAGGGACTGCCTCTCCTTCATAAAAATGATCTATTTTGCTGTGCACTCGTAAATCGTCATTGGTGCATTCACGCAGTGCCACTTTTATGGAGAACTCCATTTCCTATATGGCCACTTAAGGGTGCATCATTTATTTCAACTCTTCTAAAGTGCTTTGAAAATGACGATAATCGTGAACAAAATCAATATATTGACACTCGTAAATTGTATTGGTTTATGAGAACTCTATTTCCTGTATCGATATTTAAGGGCGCATCAACTCTTTTGAAGCATTTTGAAACGGACGATTATCGAGTGCAAAGAAGACCAGCATTTCGATATAATTTAATGATTAAACAATTAGATTTGAGTTGCTTGGGAGATCTTATTCATGGCTGCTTGAAGAATAAACATAAAATACATAATTCTCACAAGCTTGATGAGTCTGGCGACACTTTGCTTTGGGATACATACAAGTTGCTTTGTCATAAACTGATCAATACTACCGAAAATTCCTTCTTTGAATTGGTTCACGAGAATGAGGAAGCAATTTTGAGTGACAAATTGAATATCTTTAAAATACCAAACGCCAAAGAATCGCTGGGAAATCTACGCAAATTAAGCATCTATCGTTCTGAAAGCAGAGTCCTTGATTCAGCCTCGAAAATCTGCCCCAATCTTTCATCAATCCAAATTAGCTGTAAATTTTGGGATTGTTTTGACGAATATTTGGAATTACACAAGTCACTATCCTTGTTAAAATTATTCAAGAATCTAAAATGTTTAGATATTTACTGTGGAGAACTTCTTGCACAAAACTACGGTGACAATCTTTTAATGGAACTTGGGAAAAAACTACCAAAATCATTGGAAATTCTTGGTGCTTACGGCGACTTGAAGTTTTCCGTCGAGTCTCTCGAAAAATTCTTGCACGGTGCCAAACAGATTAAATTTAAATCATTGGACTTTCGATATTCTAAATGTATTTCTGACGCGCATTTAGAAATTATTCTGAGAGCAGTTGGAGATTCAAATTTCAATATTAGCATTAAGGAACTCTTTGTTTATTGTGGTTGGGCGATAACCCGAGAGCAAGTACGAAAATTGCAGGATGAAGGAATTATCATGTGTCTTTTTAACTGACCTCCATATAATCACATCATATTAAAACCTTTATACTTGAAAAACAATCATATTAAAAAACCTCTATACAATTACAACCCCTTTACAATCACACTTTCAGATTTTTTGACTATGTAACCAAATGTGTAGGTCCGACTGCATTATATCTTTATATTTTGAACCTACTTTTGAACCTTTACCTGTATTTTAAATCGCATGTACATGTATTTTACAATTTATACCGATATAATTTTTGTTGACTGATATACTACTCATAAATGTTCGAATTATCTACCATATGGCATTCATTATGTTAACAAATATCAAAAGTTGCCGTTTACATTCCATCCTCAAATCCTGGTCAGAAATCTGATTATCCAAAATGACATTTTGGAAATCTTAAACATTCAAATTGAATTTTAAGTAGAGGCTTTTGAATGAATAATCTGAAATACATGAACTATTTTAATCGACTTTAATACCAGATTCGAGCCGTATACTGTATTCTGCCGTGAATAAGCACCACTGTTTGGGCTCTAAAAAACAGGTGGTACTTATTTCTGGACATTTTCATAATTTAAGCCGACTTTATATATATTTTGTAATTTAAGCATAGTGATGTTTATTCTTTGGTTTATTAGTTTTTGGTTGAAATAGGGTGGCACTTATTCACGGCAGAATACGGTAGTCAGAATTTTTTTAAGATGAAAACTTATTTGGAGGCTTGAAATATTGAGACAAGTTTTTTATAATTTACGTAGTTGTTTTCACGATGCGTTGGCATTTAATTGAATTGCACCTACAATCTCATAAATTGATTTGTTTCCTGCATTCTTTATTTTTATATTTTCAAAAAGTGTCAAGGATTCAAAAACATCGTTATTTTGAATAGAATTCTCTTTTCAATCAAATATATTATTCAATAAGAAGTCAAAACATTTTCTTTACGTCGTTGCTTCCGATTTATCAATTTATTCGAAAACATCAGGGTTTTTTCTTTTGACCGTACCGATGAACTCGCCATTACTGTTGAACTCGACAGTTTTCAAGTTGGTAAAAGTTAGATTTATAAATTCGTAACGGTTTAAACTAGAAATAACACGAAGTTTTATTACAGCTTTCGACGTATATAACGAGAATCGTTATTCAGCGATAAGTCACGAGGGCATTATTTATTTGGCTTGTAGGTACGTAGATATAGTGTCTATGTACAAATAATATACGTATATACTAATGATTTATTCTTTTCCCATTATTTCAATAACTCAATTTAAACGCCATGAATTTCAAATTTTCCAAATTAGACACATAGATGGTTTCCAGACACTAAATTCACTTCATATAAAACATAACTTTTAAATAAGTAAATCGATTTTTGTGCATTAAGTAAACTTGTTCGCAGTACTAATTTACATTTACTTTAATATTTTGATTAAAATTGGTAGGATTATTTTTTAAACATTGATTTTCAAAAGTCAGTGTTCAAGCTATTTGTACATATAATAAAACATAATAAAACATGGTTTTTTTACTAAGCAAATCAATTTATATGCATCAAGTAAACATGTTTACAAATTTGCATTTACTACAAAATTTTTATTAAAATTTGATAAGAGATTTTCATTTAAACATGGACAAAAAAACTAGAAATAATTTTTTATAAAAAATATCAGATACTAATATTTAAAAAATAACCTATTAATAAACTTTTATCTGTTTTTAGTAATAATTTCACAATACATGTAAATTAATTCTGTGAACAAGTTTACTTAATGCATAGAGATCAATTTACTTAATAAAAACTCATTTTGTAAAGCTATTAAAATCGCTAAATACTAAAATTTGCTATATATAAAATGTAATAAAATATGATTTTTTACTAAGTAAATCAATCTCTATGTATAAATAAACTTGTTGCTATAATAATTTGCACTTATATTCAAATTTTTACTAAAGTTAGATAAATTTTTATTAATAAATTTATTCTTTAAACTTTAATATTCAGAAATTAGTATCTAGTATATGTGATTCTTGAACATTTAGAATAAGAAATAGCTCTAAATTTATTATTATTTTTAATTGTACAATATATAGTGGTCTTTCAGAATATTATAAACACTTTTTAAAATATAATAATGCAAAAATCAATAAAAAAGCAAGATTTATAATTCTAAGCTAATAGAATTATTAAAATATATTGTATATTATATTAAAATTTCAAGTAATTTCAATAACTAATTCAATATATATATATAAATATAAAATAAAATTTAATATCAAACTGAAATTTATATGAAAAATATTATTTTATAAAGATGCAAATAACTTTATATTCAATAAATCAAATTAAATGAAAGTTTATAACAAATTTTTCAGTATAAAATGCATTTAATAATATTAAAATCATTTAATTTGAATTACTAAATATAGAGATATTATATCTTAAAGATAACATACAAAATCAGAATAAAAATTTTTAAAGAAAATAATTTTTGTAAATATTTTTGCATCCAATTAATCAAATTATATAATTTTAATATCATCAGATTTGTTTTGTTTAAGTAAATCTAGTAATATCAAAATTATTTAATTTGGTTCATTGAATATTGAGATATTCACAAAAATGATTTATTTTAAAAATTATTTTTTTACCTAATTTTTGTACTGTATTTTTAAAATATTATATTTTTGTATTTAATAATTTAAATTATATAATTTTGATATTATTAGATATATTTTGACTTGGTGAATTAGATAATATAAAATTATTTAATTTGATTTATTGGGTATTGTTACCATTTCATCAAAAAAATTCGTAATTACTTAATTATTGATCAACAAAAATTAAGATGTATTACAAAGA